TTGGCAGTTCAAATCTCACCAGCTCAAAGTTGACTCAGCCTTCCATCCTTCCGATTTCATCCTTCCATTTCGGTAAAATGAGGACCCAGATTGTTGGGGCAATATGATGACTCTGTAAACCGCTTAGAGAGGGCTGTAAAGCATTGTAAAGCTGTATATAAGTCTAATTGCTATTGCTATTATTTTGACGGACAGCAGCCTAAATCCACAGATGTGTATTCTTGGTTAATTAATTATAGTTAATACTTAATTATGCTCCAATAATGCTTAAGTAATATTTTTCTTGCCCCAACTGTTAAACAAGGCAAAGAAAATGCAAAGCTGGCTGAAACTATTGATCTACACAATTTCTTATCAAGGTCAAGAAATATCAGCATCTGTTCATAGTATACAATGAAAAAAATAAAGTCTCTTGAACATATCTTCATTTTAAAGTCCCAGAAATGTGGGATTTGGTCTAAAATCATCTATTCTTTGGAGAATGCTGGTAATCAGAAAATCCCAAGTCAAACTTCCTGACCTTTCCAAATAGAAGAACAGATAGCAGGTGCTGGGAGAATCTTTTCTCTGAGTCTTTGGAAAACTGTCTACCAGTCAGAATGGACAATAATAAGGGGGACAAACAAATTGGCCACCTCCTTACCTTTTTTATTCTCATAAATATAACTTCAATGAAGATGTTTTAAGGGGAAAAACAATCCTACATTTCTCATTATGTGATTTAAAGGGATGGGGAAACTGAACTACTTGTATTGCATTTGTTTACCTTCAATTCAATTCAAACCTTTATTGTCAATGCACAACATGTGTACAATGAGATTGGCTGAGCCTCCCTTCGTGCACCCCCCCCAACACAATACAACTCACAGTGAAAGACAAAAAGAAAATCCCTAGCCCAGTGAATCCTACAAACACTCAGTCCTATTGCGCCATGTTGAACCCCTCAAGTCAATCATGCTATGTTGTTGTAGAGTTATTTTTCATTCAGGAGTTTGACAGCCCACAGATAAAAACTGTTCTTCAGCCTGTTTGTGCGGCTGCCTATGCTTCTATATCTCCTTCCAGATGGTAGGAGAGTAAAGAAGGGCTGCCCAGGGTGTGAGTCGTCTCTGAGTCGTCCCTGAATGTATTTCCTCTATTACTTTGTTTTATATGAAAACAGTTTAAACTGCCTCACATTTAATACTATTCTTTTTAGCTCTGTAGACTTGAGTTTTGATGGAAAAGTCATCTAAGTAAGATAACAAACATGTAAGGAGAGTGTAATAATATATAACATATTTATAAAACCTATAAAGTAGAAACCATAAAAGAACATTTTACCATGTAAGCAACCTGATTCATGAGATAAAGTAGAACTGACATCTTTTTGAGCTGGCCACAAGAGGTCACTCTTATTTTTTTATGGCATGGATTAAAGCTGTATTAAATATTTCAGAATCCTATATCATAAGGGCCATTATGAGTTTAGCTTCTGCACAGAAACAGCTACTTTTCTTTTAAGGCACACTATGGGATGCTTTTATGTTCAATGCAATTTCTTTGAGAACTAATTAGTATTAGAAATAGGAAAAGCTGAGAGTTGCCAAGTAAGGAGCCTGGTGGTGCAGTGGACTAAACTACTGTTAAAGTAGTATTTAGCTGCCAGCTGCCTGCAATTACTGCGAGTTCAATTCTCACCAGGCTCAAGGTTGACTCAGCCTTCTGTCCTTCCGAGGTAGGTAAAATGAGGACCCGGTTTGTGGGGGCAATAAGCTGACTTTGTATAAAATAGAACACCGCTTGGGGGCCAAAAGCCCTACTAAGCAGGTATATACAAAAAAGTATGAAGGCTATTGCTTAAAAGCATTGTAAGCCACCCTGAGTCTCCGGTGAAGAGGGACATATAAATCAAACTAATAAATAAATAAATAAATATTGCTGCTACACAAATTTTAATTTCAAGGGAGGTTTCCATAGGTTCCCCCCAAATTGCTTAGTGGATCGAGCAATCTTTCCAGGAAATAAATTAATATTATGAACAATATTTACTCTTCTATGTAAGACTTCTCTAACCTGATCTTCTCTAAATGTAATGGACGATTGCTTCATCATTGTCAGCCAGTGTGGCAGTACTAATTGGGATTGAATCCCTGCAAATCTGAAAGGATAGAGTTGAGGAACAATGCCATGATTGATGACAATGCACTGTTGACCTATAAGTCCCACAGCTATGGACAAAGAATTTTTCTCATACTTTTCATTTATGGTCTCAGAGATTTATTCTACCGTGGATTTGGTTTGTCTGTGAAATTTTATATATATATTATATATATAATAAACACACACATACATCCAGAGATTTCTGGCTCATGTACAACCAAACCTCTATAAATCAAAAATGAATAAAATGTACAAAGATGTAGTATTTTAACGTATATTATTCACAACGCATCATAAAGAGATACATTTAATTTGTACTAATTACAATCTTGGTACACTCCTTTCCAAAGTAACCTTAATTGGTCTGTAGTCTGTTTTGTAACTTCTTGATCATTATGCAAGTGGGCAGACAAGGTGACCTGATAAGGGCTATTGATCATTTGTTGTATCTGCACAATCAAGTCTTTATATAACCCATAAAGTTAAAATACAGTTCCTTTTGGAATACCCTGACTTTTACCATAATTCATCACATATGAATGATGTGACTGCAGGCATCTTGGAATACCCTGAGTCCAATGTATACATCTGGTAGTCCTCATTCCATATATCATTAAAGTCCTAAACTGCAAAATTATCTTATGGGCATACGAGATAAGTGTAACTCTTCAGTAGTATTCTTTACAATTGCCCAAGTTTCTTTTCTTTTTTCTTTTTGAAATATAGATGGATTTTTCTAGTCTCTAGGTCACTGATGTGTTTTCCATTCTTGCTTACAAAATATACACAGCATTTTGACTGCATCCTTTTTAAAATTTGAAACAGGTCTCAAACAGATATTTCATCAATTCCTGTGGCTTTGTTGTTAGCAATATTTTCAAGAGTGTCACTTTCCAGAATGCCTGGTTCTAGTTCAGTGATCAAACCTTTGTACATAGCCTTGATTTGGAAGTAATTATGTACAGTTTTTCTGTACATGCTTACTACCTCTTATTTATATTTTCTTTCCCCAGTATGCCTTTCCTTGAATTTTTCATGCTCACGTTTGCATAAACGTTTTCTTTGATTTCTGTAATTTTCTTTAATACATCTCTTGTTCCAGTCATTTGATTATTATTCTTGTCTTCTTTGCATTGTTTATTTATTTTCTCCTTGCCAACATAGGAAACTTTAACATAGCGAAAGATGAAATGAATTGACTGCACGTTGACATTAGGGGATTGAAATGGACCAGAATTGGATAGGCAGTCAGACAATCTTCTTGTTTACTTCTTAGAACATGAAAAAGTGGTAATGTTACTTTCATAGTCATGAAAGATATTGTAAAGAAAGTGTTTGCAGCCAATGATCAAATAATAGCCTTGGTGGCGCAGCAGACTAAAGTGCTGTTAAATAACACCAGCTGCCTGCAATTACTGCAAGTCCAAATCTCACCAGGCTCAAGGTTGACTGAGCCTTCCATCCTTTCGAGGTAGGTAAAATGAGGACCCAGTTTGTGGGGACAATATTTATTTATTTATTTATTTATTTATTTATTTATTTATTTATTTATTTACTTATTTATTTATATTTTTATTTATTTATTTATATTTTTATTTATTTATTTATATTTTTATTTATTTAATTAAATTTCTATACCGCCCTTCTCCCGAAGGACTCAGGGCGGTGTACAGCCAGAAATAAAACCATGACAGTTTAAAAACAATTTAAAACAATTAAATCAATCGGCCAAAAATTCTAATAAAACAACCCATTAAAATAGTAAAAATATTATTATTATTTAGGCCAGCCCTGCTTTTGGAATAGTAATGTTTTTAGGGCGCAACGAAAGGTACGCAGGTTGGGAATCCTATGAATCTCCGGGGGCAGCTCATTCCAGAGGGTGGGGGCCCCCACAGAGAATGCTCTCCCCCTGGGGGTCATCAGCTGACTTGTCTAGCTGACGGCACCCGGAGGAGCCCCTCTCTGTGGGAGCATACTGGTCGATGGGAGACTATCGGTGGCAGAAGGCAGTCTCGTAGATACCCAAGGCCCATGCCATGGAGCGCTTTAAAGGTGGCAACCAACATCTTGAATCGCACCCGGAAGACCACCAAGAGCCAGTGCAGCTCATGCAGGAGTGGTGTTACATGGGAGCACCAAGTCGCTCCCATAATTACCCGCGTGGCTGCATTCTGGACCAGTTGGAGCCTCTGGGTGCTCTTCAAGGGGAGCCCCATGTAGAGAGCGTTACAATAGTCCAGACGGGAAGTGACGAGGGCGTGAGTGACTGTGCGTAAGGAGTCCCGATCCAGAAAGGGACGCAACTGGTAAATCAGGAGAACCTGATAAAAAGCCCCCCTGGCCACAGCCGTCAGATGGTCTTCTAAGGACAGCTGCGAGTCCAGGAGGATGCCCAAGTTGTGAGCCCTCTCTGAGGGGGTCAAGATCTCACCCCCAATAATCAGTCATGGAGTCAACTGACTATGACGGGATGCCGGAAACCACAGCCATTCAGTCTTGGAAGGGTTAAGTCTGAGCTTGTTCCTCCCCATCCAGATCCATACGGCTTCCAGGCACCGGGACATCACTTCAAGGGCATCATTGGGGTGGCCCGGGGTGTAAGCTGACTTTGTATAAAAAAGAACACTGCTTGGAGGGGGAGAAAGCCCTACTAAGCAGGTATATACAAAAGTATGAAGGCTATTGCTTAACGCATTGTAAGCCGCCCTGAGTCTCCGGAGAAGGGCAGCATATAAATCAAATAAATAAATAAATAAGTAAGTAAGTAAGTAAGTAAGTAAGTAAGTAAGTAAGTAAATAAATAAATAAATAAAATAAGTTAAATGTCATGGACAAAACTTTATTATCCAATTCAGGTTTATGGTCCAACCACTGTTGCAGAAGGAGAAGACATTGACAAGTTTTGCAATCAAACTCAATCTGAAATCAGCATAACAGGCAAGCAAGATGTGCTGCTTGTGGATCACAAGTTGGAAATGTTAAGGAGAGAAATGCATTTGGCTGGCCTAGCAAACAGAAATGAAGGAGAATGATGATTTATTAGTTTCTGCCAATCAAGTGCTAACACAGCCTTCAATCAAAACAATGTCTATATACATGAACATTACCAGAAAGAGTACACGGAAATTAAACTGACTATATGCTGGGTAGAGGGCATGGAACAGTTCAATTGTAATAACAAAGACATGGCCAGTGATCAACTATGGAACAGACCATGCACCACTCATTTGTAAATTCCAAGTCAAACTAAAAAGCCAAATCAGCCAATCAGTTTCCATGATAGTTCATGAACATATACTTATCTCTTCAAGGTTAAACTAACAATCACTTTAATAAGTCCTGAACCTTATTGATAGGGAACCAGAGGAATCATGGAATGAAATCAAAGAAGTTGTTAAGGAAGAATGTGAAAAGAGATTGTCAAAGACCAAGAAACAGAAGAAAACAAACTGGATGTCAAAACAGATAGTGGAAATTGCCAAGAAGAGAAGCCAAAGCCAAGAAAGAAAAAGATCTCAGGAAGAAACTTAACAAAGAATTTCAGATAACGTACAGAAGAGCAAGAAGCAATATTACTGTGATATTGTAAAGATATAAAAGATGAAAACTGACAGAAAACAAGGGAAGTCTTCCAAAATCTCTAAAGTAAGAACCTTAAATTGGTATATTGAAGTATACCAGGACACAGGTAGTGATGATTACTATTATTTTGATTATATCCCATCTTTATTTTTACAACTTAAGCTAGTGTACTAGTAACTGATTTCAAAGACTAATAATGATGGAAGGAGTAAGTCTGTACAACATCCAAGATACCTTGAAGATAGTTTCTATTTATAAAAATGTCTAGTATTAGAAAATGAAGTAAAATCAACACCAAATCAGAAGGCTATAGATATTGATGGTATAGTTAAATAATTAAGGCAAGTCACAGAAGCCAAATCAGAAAAGGTTGTAATAAAACTATGCCAGCAAATCTGAAGAATGATATAGTGGCCCAAAGATTGAAAGAAATCAGTTTAAATATCAAGTTAAAAAGGAAACTTGACAAGTGTACAAACTATTATACAATATCCTTAATTACACAGACTAGCAAAAAAAAAATGCTTGAAATCATCAAATGCATATTAGGGTCTTACACGGAAAGAGAATTGCCAGATGTTCAAACTGGTTTTAGAAAAGAAAGAAGAAAAATTATTTTTGATGCACAATAAATAATGCCAACAAGAAATCAATACAGGGTTTATTAGAAAGGTCTTTAAATTCTATCAATCGAGTCAAACTGTGCTTAGGAAAATGAAAATCTCAGAACATCTCCAGGTAACATTCAAACTAAAATGCCTAACCAAGAAGGAGTTAAACTGATCCAGCGGTTTGAGACTTATTCTCCTTTTACAATGTATACCAACAATCTCAACCAGCCTTCCAACTTCAATTCTGAGCATAGAAGCAACTCCTTACTTGTGTAGTCTCTGACCCCCTTCCTTCCCTATGAGGAAGGTCTCCAGTTTAAGGAACCAACTCTTTTCTCTTCCTGGACAATAAAATGTATCAAGACCACCTGCAGAGAAGAGTAGGAGTCTTTGTTTGTACAAGCCCAACAAGAATAATCTAGCAAGTGTTTTCTCTACAGACTTCTTTTTGTTATCCTCTGGCACCTCCCTCTTCTTCAACTTCTTCTTCAGAGTGGTCTTTATGCTCAAAACGTAAAAAGTCTTCAGATACTTATACTTTGCTACTCCAACTTATTCAAAAGTAGGCTGGCATTTTCCCTTCATGGCAGATATATTTGTCTTTTTAGGATTGGCTTTCAACAATAAAAAGACTAGCAATCAAGACATATTCCATAGACTAGCAATTGATAGGACAGCAGTGGAGACTTTGGGAAAGATACACACACACACATCTGGTGATGTATCTCCATATCTACAAAGATCAGAGTCATTCAGACACTGTTTATCTCTGTGACCATCTATGGAAATTAAAGTTGGACTTTGAAGGAAATAGAATTGATCCAATTTATGTTTGAGACAACTCCTGAGAATACCATGTATAGCCAAGAAAACAAACTGATAGATCATACTGATAGAACAAATTAATCCTGAGTTCTCACTTGGAGTACAAATGGCCAAGCTCAAAGTATCATATTCTAAACACATTATGCAAAGACCTAGTTCTCTAGAGAAGTCTATAATTCTGGGAAATGTAGAAGAGAGAGGATGACCAACAAGGGGGATGGACTTGATTACAGTGGTAGTATATGCACAATTGGAAGATCTGAAGTTCCAGATTGGGAACAGATCATTCTGGAGTAAGTTTATGTGGTTGCTAAGAGTCAACATAAACAAGGACACATAGTCAATCAACTTCTTGCCTGAAATTCAGAGTTTAAATGAACAATATTTTATCTGTTGTTTTCCATAGTCAGAAGTTGCTGAGACTTCTGGCATTGTCCTTACTTCTAGGTATCACTTTTTCAGTCCTAATCAGTTACCACTTACTGGGTAATTAAAATATGATTTTAGCTTGGACACCAGTACCAATTAGCTTGTCAGCTACCGTATTTCTGTACCTCCCAGGTGCAGAAATGTTGAGGTGTGCTGAGAAAATGATTGCAGCATCAATAGCACAGTCTTTCCATCAAACTGCCAGAAAATATATATATATATTTTCCCTGGCAACTCTGTAAGTATATATTTCAGCTAGATATGTTGCTGAAAATACAGTGATGACTGAATTATAGAGTGGTTCTACTATGATGCTTCTACTGCTTGAATTGTAGTTGAGCAAAAGAAGAATTTATCTCTCTTCTCATCTAATCCTTCACTTATCTGGATGTTGCTGAACCACTACTACCAGGCCAAACTAGCAACATTTTGCCTACTATCGGTCTTGGATCTGCCTTGCAAGCATTGGCTATCTGATATCCATGCCTAAATTCAAATATGCGTCCTTCTAATGTGTTACGTTATAACTTCCACAATGTTTAGCTAGCATGACCATTGGGAACTCTGCCAGTTGTAGATCAACATCTGGAAGGTTGTACGGCATCATATGAAAGCATAAGACCAGTCAAGGAAGGCTGTATTACTCCATCTAAAATGGAAAACAAAACAAAACATTTCAAGAATACACAAATGCAGAAGTGATCCATCTTGGTTCCATTTACTTTGTATCCATCTGCTCATTTTGAACAGGTTTCCTCATGAAATATTTGATTTCTTATTTATGTGACTCAATGAAATGTCACAGATTCTGCTTATGTTTTCACTTAGAAGAGTTAACCTATTTTCTTGTTACTTGTTGGAAAGTGGATGACAGAAAAGTCAAGATATTTAATCCTAATGCTGCAAAGGTGGCAGTGATTACTCTCACACTATGTCTATTGGGAGAAAACCACTTTTAGCTGAGGTTTGGACAACTCACAACAGTTGCCTAATATTTTCAATGATATTAGCACAGCTGGTTTCAGCAGAGACAAGCCCAAATCTGACAGTTGATCTCTTTCACATACACTTATTAAAAGCTCAGTTTTCAAGATTATTTCAACTATAAATTCCCTGCCAAAATTCAGACACTGGATCTGCAAATCATATCTGACCACTGTTCCTCCCAACACAATATTATTCTTGACTGTTGACTAATATAGAGAAAAGCCAGGTGCTATCTCCAGTTACCATCAATTGTCTGAATTTCAAGGATTCCTGTGTTGAATCATGCTTGGATCTCACAGAATCTCTATGGGCATTTCAAATATATAGAAATGCAGGCATTTGTCTTGTTACAAATCCAGCCTTTATGTTATGCAGAAGTAGGAAAAAGGGAGAAGAGTTTGACTGACTTATATGCTACTGTTTCTCCTGCCTGCTGATGTAATGTGTATAGTTTATGGATCTTATCTACAAGAATTTATTCAAATGCCAAGAAATGTTGAAAGGGAGTTTTTGGGAATTGGTCATTTAGTATAACCACTTGACATGTGAGGCACATGCAACAGCATCTATGGGCAATGAAAAAAATTAATAGACCTATTCCCTCTAGGAAGCAATGCAACTCAATCAAATAAACATTGATATTCATTTTTAATTCATTATTTAGCTTTCCTTCCCTCTCTCAGGCACTAAATGAAATGTTTATACAAGATGTCTCTTCCAGTAAGTCACTTTGAACAATAGAAGTAACTCCATGCTTGCTTTATATGTTGCTTGCATAACATATGTACATTCATGTAGTGTATGTTTCCATGCAAAGACAATGAGCTCCATTCAGTTCTTTTCTTAACACAAATTTTGAGCAGAATGGTTTATAAATTGATGTTCTGAATTTTCTCTGAGGCTCCAGGCAGTGTATTTATCATTTCTTTTTCCAGTTTCTCCCCAACAGCCCTTGACGCAAGTTAGACTGAAAAAATGTAATTGATTCTATAACTGAAGATGGATTTCTTCAGGGCTGAAATCTGAACCGGTTTGCTACCGCTTCGCTGGCTGCATTTGCGTGCTGTGCCAAGTGCGTGCTGTGTGCATGCATGCACATCAAATGCATGCTGCATGCACATGCACAGTGCGTGCCAAACATGCACTGCAGATTTAAAAAGCTACCAGTTCAGGCAAACCAGTAGTTTAAAAAAGCTATGATCTGACGTCACCTGTGCCGCGCGGTTTAGCTTTGCTAGAAAACAGGATTTGCTGCTTTCTAGCAAAGCTAAACTGCGCGCCACAGCTGATCCCCCCCTCGCTGTTCTACTTATCTTTTCAAGCCTCCTTTTGGCATGTACTGCACATGCGATAGTTTTTATCACTACCGGTTTGCTCGAATCGGAGCGAAGCGGTAGCAGTTCACCCCTGATCTGAGCTGAGATATCCAGTTATCTTGCTTAAGCACTATCTTTGCAGTAGATTCCCTTTGCTTGATTTGCTGTTATCTCATGCATTTTTCCAAAACATCCCATTTAGAGCCCTTCCTTAAGAGAAATGGATGGTCTAGAAACATGAGATATAAATAATAAAGGCTTTGAAGCACCTACAGCAGGAGTGTCAAACTCACGTCGTCACATGATGTATCAGGACGTTTTTCCCCTTTGCTAAACGGGGCATGGGCATGGACAGCATGTGACCTATCCGGCCCATGGGCCCCGAGTTTGACAGCCCTGACCTACAGGGTCTCTTTCTTTCCATCATATCATCCAGTTGCTTCATTCAGAAACCTCCCAAATATTATTTTCCTCTAGAAATTCTTAAAAGTATGGAATTTGAAATCATTTAAATCATAATTATGAAGAAATATCCAATGCACTCAGCAGTTGCCATTGCCCTTAGTATCTTTATAACAACAGTATGATGTAGGACAGTGGTGGGTTGCTACCGGTTCACCCCGGATGCTTCTGCGCATGCGCAGAAGTGTCACGTGTGTGCACGAGCACCCATGAGTGAACCGGGGGTGACAGGTTTTGAAATCCGCCCCTGATGTAGGACAGAGTGAAAGTAGCAACCGATCCAAGGTTATCCTACTGAATGTCAGCATATATAAGGACTATATAAACCCAGGTCTCTTCAACCAAGCCCAATACTTATATAACTCAATAGCATACATCCGATGAGTTCTAGCTATTGGCATTTGGTTGATGGCCTTGGTTGATGCTGTGGAGATCACTAGAGTTGAAATTTGGACACTATTAGGATATCAACGATACCCTGAATCAGTTCATTAATCCAAGAGGAGATGTAATACGCCAATCTGCATTGCAATACTTTAAAAACAAAAGGCAAAAATTGCTGCAGAAAAATTGAAGTTTGCCACTGTTGCAGTGGCAAACTGCAATTTCAGAACTGCAATTTCAGAACTGAGGCTCTGCGGGTTCATGAGCCACAAAAATGGGCTGGAGACTGCATAGAGCTCATAAAGTGTTCAGTCAGTTCCTAATCTAAGCACTCAGACATGACATAATAACATAATAAAAAAAAAAACCTAAATGTAATTCTATGTAGTTTGCATCAGAGAAATACAGTATTAAGATTGCAGGGACTGATGGTACCATGTTATTCTGGTTTGGCTGAAATAAGAAAAATATTGACAAATTAGAACGCTTGCAGCAAAAAAATGATAAAGATGATCTAATAACCAAACCTTATAAAAATTGGAACTTTTCTATTTTAACTCCCTACCTACCCTCCTCATACCATCCCGAAAAATTGAAGTACTTGATACGTGTTGATGGAAAAGATACATCATATATCTCAAAGGTTGTCACAAAGTGAAGGAGAAAACTGGTTTTCAGCTACTCCTTAGAGCAAGATCTGAAGCAATTAATTCACATTCAAAGAGAATTCCATATGAATAATGCAAAGGCTAGCTTCATACCTTACATTGTATATTGAATATCCTTATAGAAGGATGTCCTAGTATTGCAAACTGCCCAGAGTCACTTAGGTGAGGTGGACAATGTTGAAATTGAATAAACAAATCAACAAACATAATAGTATAAGCTACTCAAGAAAACTGTTTGGAGGGCAGTGGTTTGTCCTTCATTAGAAGCCCTTAAGCAGAATTTGAACAGGTAATCTCTTGCATCAAGAAGGATTTGGAGTGGTTAAACACCGAACTCCCACCCACTCTATGAAATAGGAGTGCTGTTTCAGCTCATTAAGTCCCGTGTATATTTTCCATCAAAGCTTATTGCTGACAGCCTTTGTCCCAACTGACAGGTGCCATTAAGAGTGGCTGGCAGCCCAAGGAGAACTGTAAGTATTATATTGAGTTCTAACTACCTTTTTTAAAGGAAATTTTCATTCCTCTTCTAGTCTTTAGAGTTGTTATAAACTGCACAAAGAAGGAAGCTGTTCATTAGATTATTCATAAAACAGTTCTGGTAGTGTTACATTCCTGACCTGTGGAGGGGAGGGGGAACCACAATTAGCAAATAACCGACAAGCCCACACAACCAAACAGGACTTTTTTTTGTATTGTTCCAAATAATGGCATCAATGAAATACATGCTAATCCGCTATGCATTTCTCCCTAAGTCTAGACTTCATTGGCATAAAAATTAAAGAGCCAATACGTGAGACTGTATGAATTCTCCATTTTTGCAAAGCATGCTTCAGTCATAATGAAAACACTTATCATTTCATGGTGATATCTGCAGTGGCATGTGCCAGATATTCAGCTCTG